GGAAAATCCAGCTGGGCGGCTGCTGTCGGGTCTATCGGGTATCCTGGGCCAAAGCTCCCCCTGGCACAAGGCCCAGCCCTGCCAGGGCCAGCGGAGCAGGGCCATTTGGCTCCGGTGGAGACTTGGGGGTGCAAATTCCTACTACTCGGGAGGCAGAGCTGAGCCTTTCCCAGCACCCCAGCTTTGTCTCAGCCACATCTCACACACAGGGACTGTGTTTGCTCCACGAGGGTCAAGCCTGGGGGGCTTCCATCCCACGTGGAAGGGGCTGCTCAGCATCACTGCACTGTGTGAGCTGCCACAGGGGCCCAGTGGCAAGGGCCAGGTCACCTCCCCGTGCCAGCCTTTGCATCCTCATCGGGGTGGTAGGGAAACTGAGGCACGGACCTTCTCCATGTCACAGAATCATAGAATTGTCTGGATTGAAAGGGACCTTTAAGACCATCTAGTCCAACCATCGACCTAACTCTGTTAAAAATACCATCACTAACCCATGTCACCCAGCACTATGTCAATGTCCTTCTCCATGAGGGGGTGGCTTCCTACCTGCACCTCATTTTTGTCTTCTCAGGGCTTTTTCCCAGCACTTCTCTACCCCTCTCCACAACCAGAAAGCCACCATCCTCCAGCCCCAGCTCTCCAGGCCCCGTGGTTACAGCACACAGCCGCTCCTGCCGAGGCACCAGGAATCCCAACAGCCATTAAACTGTCTGCAAGGGCTCCAAGAGTCCAAAGGGCTCCCCAGCCCCGCAGCTTTAAAAAGCTGCTGACGGAAAAACAACAGGCCAAAAGCATCCAGGGAGTAACCCTTCCCAGCCAGGGACTCGCCCAGGGACCAACCTAGCCCCTTCTCCTTGGAAGCGATTTCTGGACAGGCATCAGAGGTTTTCCAGTCTCTCTCTCTTTATTACATGCAAAGATTTACTTGCAAAGAGCTGCTTTGGTTTCTCGAAGCCAAAGGCGGCCGTGCTGCCTATTCCCCCACCTGAAAAAGCCATCCCTTCATCCTGACCTCATCCCAACGGTTGCCACAACAACCCCCGGCGACGTCACCGGCGGAGGATTAGGACTTCAGGTGGGGAAGGAGCAGCAGGAGTAGCCGAAGTGCTCAAACCACAGAAGGAGCTCGGTGAGAGCCAGAAAGGAAATGAAGGGAGACGGGGGGAGAAGGAAAACTCAGCGCCAGCCCAGCACCGAGACCGGGGATGGCTTCCAGATTGCAGGTTGTGTCGGTCCCACACCGGGGATGCCACGGAGCCGTGCAGGGGTTCCTTGGGCCCAGAAAGCCCAAGGTTTGGGGTGGAGCAGGGGAAACCCCTTGAACCATCTCTCACTCCTCTTGCTGCCTCTGTACCGCTCTTCTGCTTCGGTCTCTAGGGACAGGCTGCCTTGCTCAGTTGAGCATCGGTCTCCAGAGGTGCTGAGGTTGGAAGGGACCTTTGAGATCCAACCTTCATGGTTGGAAGGGACCTTTGAGATCGAGTCCAACCACCAAAAAAAAACCCCAAAAAACAGCAAACAGACACAAACCAACAATCTCAGGCACTAGAGCATGACCTGAACAGCCACGTCTACACGTTTCTTAAATCCCTCCAAGGATGGCAACTCCACCACCTCCCTGGGCAGGCTCTTCCAGTGCCTGACCACCCTCTCAGGAAAGTCATTCTTCCCAATATCTAATCTAAACCTCCCCTGCTGCAATTCAGACCATTTCCTCTGCTTTTGTCTTTATTCCCTTGGGAGAAGAGGCCAACCCCCATCTCTCCACACCCTCCTTTCAGGTAGTTGTAGAGGGCACTGAGGTCTCCCCTCAGCCTCCTCTTCTCCAAACTAAACAAGCCCAGTTCCCTCAGCCTCTCCTCATAGGACTTGTTCTCCAGACCCCTCCCCAGCCTGGTGGCTCTCCTCTGGACACACTCCAGCAGCTCAATGTCCTTCTTGTAATGAGGGGCCCAGAACTGAACACAGCACTCAAGGTGAGACCTCACCAGTGCCCAGTACAGAGGCACCATCACTGCCCTACTCTTTCCAGTGGTTCCCAGTGACAGGACGAGGGGCAACGGGCACAAGCTGGACCATGGGAAGTTCCACTCCAATGTGAGGAAGAACTTGTTTGGGGTGAGGGTGGCAGAGCCCTGGCAGAGGCTGCCCAGGGAGGGTGTGGAGTCCCCTTCTCTGGAGATCTTCAAGCCCCTCCTGGATGCTCCTGAGTGATGTGCTCTGGGCAGCCCTGCTTTGGCAGGGAGTTGGACTGGATGATCTCTAGAAGGTCCCTTCCAACTCTGAGATTCCATGATTCCTGCTGGCCACGCTATTCCTGACACAGGCCAGGATGCCGTTGGGGGTACAAGGCTCCGAGTTACAACTGGGCTCCATCTCAAAGGTCTTTCCCAAAACTAAAACGTTCTATGAGCTCTCGGGGACCGGGCAGACCCCGGCATCAGCTACCGGGAAGAGCTGCGTTTTGTACCACAAACCCACCTTTTCCTCCCTCCCGAAGCGGCAGCGATGCCCGGAGCAGCACGGACGGGTCCCCCCCCGCTCCCCACCAGCCCCTCCCGGGTACCGGCTACCGGCGGCGGGGGCTACCGGGGGATACCCGGGATGCGCATCCTCGGCCGGGCCGGCTCCCCCGCCGCAGCCCCGCTTCTCCGGTAACCGTCTGGCTCTCTCTTGTGGCTGCTCGGCCCCGGTGCAGCCCGGCTGCTCCCGCCCCGCAGCCCCGACCCTCCGGGACCCGCTGGGGACACGCCGTTGTCCCCCCCCTCCTCCTCCCCGGGTGTCCCCTCCGGGAGCGACACCTCTGCCCGACACCCTCCCGCCTCCCCACCCCTCAAAAAACCCCCCCAAAACAAACCAGAGAAGCCACAACTTTGAGTGGGGCAGCAGGAAAAAGTGCCACAGGGTGTGTTGAGACCAACGGTGCCACCAAGAGCATGTCACAGAGTCACAGAGTCAATCTTCATGGTTGGAAGGGACCTTTGATGATCCCCGAGTCCAACCACGGGTGGGGGGGACGGATGTGAGGACCCCCCCCGGGGTGCAGCACCCTGAATCCCCCCTGGTGTGATGCTGCACCAGGAGCAGCAGTGACCTGCCACCACGTCCCCATCCCACTGCTCTGTCCATCTGTCCCTCCATCCATCCATCCATCCCCGCTGGCAGAGCCCGGCTGCAGCTCGTCACAGCCCCAGCCAGCACTCCCTCCTTTTTATATCCCACTTGGAGCCTTGACACCGATTTTTTTTTTTTACTATTTTTTTTTCCGTGGGTAGCTCACAGACTGTAATTAAGAGCCCTTCTCTCCCGCCTGCCCCAGCTCCCGTCTCCAACAGCTACTGTTTAAGCAAAGGAAACCCCCTTTCGTCCTCTCTCTCCTTTATAATTTTTTTTTTTTTCCTCCTCTCTCTCCCTTCTGAACATAAAGGGATGACAGTGCTCCAAGCCAGGGTCTTTTGCATTTCTGAGTTGGTTCTGTTAATTGGAAGGAGGGTTAAGAATCTGCAAGGTCGTTTCAATCTACATCTGACCTTCAGAGTAATCCTCTATGCCAACACCAGAGCATGTCATTAAAATGAGGCCCTCTACCATATCCCGGCATCCCTTTATTCTCTCCTTGTGCACATTAATTGCTCATAAGTTGATTTGATCTCCCTATTCTGCAAGAAGTAAATTGCCCTCTTATTTCGCCATTTTCATCCTGTTTTCTTAATTAGGCCCTTAAAAATCTCTAGGGCCTCAGCCGGGCCGCAGGCCTCATCCTGGGAATAAATTTTGATCTCAGCCTGATAAAGAGTGAGCAAACCCGGAGATTGAACAATGTCATTCTCCCCCCTCCCTCCCCTCCGTGCTATTCTCTTGACATGAAAAGGCTATCAGTTTTTCTCTGTGTTAATATAGGAAATAATTCACACTTCAGGCGTTGTTCTCTATTTAGTGTTCACACTCCCCAGATAAATCAAATCAGGGAATTTTTTTTTTTTTTTTTTAAAGTGTCTGAAACTACTTACTCTTTCTCTCCCCCCAGCCTCCTCGCTCTCTTTTTTTTCTCCTCCTTCTTCTTTTAATAAAGTTTCCAAGATTAGCCCCTGTGATTTTTCCGTCCTGGGAAGTCTATTTTAAGGTGGATTTTCTTTTCCTTTTTTAATTTTGCGTGTGTTTAACACCATCAGGGAGGGGAGCAGGAGGCAGCAGGGGCCTGGCACGTGGCTCCACGCACTGAGGAGCGCTGGCAGGGTCTGGAAACGTGGCATGTGATGAGTTTTACCAGGCAGGGTCTCAGCTGGGAGGTTTTGCAGGCATATTTGCATATTTTTCCCCTTGCTTGCGCTGGGACCTGCAGCAGGTTTGCAAACAGAGTGGGAATATCCTTGGGTACCTGGGGTCTGAGCCCCCAGAAGGGTTTTGCAGCACCCAGGGGTGATGCTAAGCCAGTCCCAGTAGTGATGAAGGGACAGAGAAGCCCCCCCCAGCCCCGTACCTGCTCCAGGTGCCACCCAACAGGTTGGAAACCCACCTGAGCTCCTGGGATGGCTCCACCATCGATCTTGCTCAGCGCAGACCAGGACAGCCACCACCAACCCAGGGACACAGCTCCTTCCAGCTCTGCTCTCTAGGGCCTTGTGACTATTACTAATTAAGGGGCCAAGCCTGGTTCCAATTAAGCAATCAGCAGATGGGTCAGCACCTCACAAGCCCCAGCTGTGCGCAGCAGCCCCAAAGCACCCAGCTGTGGGGCTGACAACCCTCTGGAGGGACCCTAAAAACCCCAAACCACCTTGGAACCATCAGAATTAGAGGTGCTTCTCCCCTCTAACAGAGCCAGGCCTTACCCACAAAAAAAAACCCAAACCATTCCAGCCCCCCAAATCCAGGGAACATCCCCTGGGAGAGAGGGACCTTCAGGCATCGCCAGGGGAAGCGTCTCTGGGTGCTCTCATTGTCCTGACCCTCCCTCCTCCGGGACGAGAAGAATCAGCCCACGCTGCAACGCTCCGGGATGTTGTAAATAAATATATTTTAATGATTCTTCTTCCATTCCAGTTCATTCTTTTATACATTTATTTATAAAACAGTAGTAAAATTTTTTAATCAGAGCACAGTGCATTAAAAATAGAAAAGGAAAATAAAACAAACAAAAACCCCAAAAGAAAAAAAAAAAAAAAATTATAATAATAATCCACAACTGTTTACTCATGGCCGGGGGGGGAGGGGGGAGACACCACGTCTCGTGCTGGGCAGCAGACGGTCCATTGCCCACCGGTGCCAGGAGCGGGACAGGGGGGGTGGGCACCCCAATTAGCCCCCCACCAGCGAGGGCCCGGCACAACCACCTTAACGGGCACGATAATCCCAAAGGACCGGGGATTTGGTCTGCCTGCCCATCCCGAAGCGCCCGCGCAGACCCTCCGGGGGCTGCAGACCCGCAGCTCACCCACGTCTGTTGGCACCCGTACGGGGTGCTGCCACCCTGCCGGGGGGATTATTCTCTTTACAGGCACTAACGGCAGTGCACGAAGGATGCCAAGGCCTCTTGTGAACACGCAGCCCCCCAAAACCACACAGCCCAGCGCCCCAACGTCCCCTCCGCTCCCCTCCCTGCACCCCTGAGGGGCATCGGCCAGACCCTGCCCTGCCCCAGCCCTCCAGGACACCCCGACACGTCCTCCCTCCTCCTTTCCCCCTCTCCTCCCCACCTTCTGCACTTCCCCGCACCCTCACATCCCACAGGCACCTCTCCAGGGGGCACTGGGGCTGTCCCCCACCTCGCAATCCCAAATCCAGCCACGATGGAGCAAGCTTGTCCCTCCTTGGCTGGGCTTTCCTCTTGCAGTCCCAACCCCGTGACATCCCTCACCCTTGGTCCAGGATGGGGTGCACCCAGTGACCCCCCCATCCCTGTGCAGGCTCTTGTCCATCCAGCCACAGCTCCCACAGCCTGGGGGGGACGATGCTGGGCTATAATGTGGGATCACAAAGGGGTCTCCTCTCTCCAGTCTTCTCTCCTCTCCCTGAAAAACTTCCTGCAGTATTTTCCCTGGGCATCCCTCTTCCCTGCCCAGCTCCGTCCCCACCACCAGCCAAGCTGAGGAGGCAGGAGATGGTGCAGAGCCCAAATCAGCTCCCCATCACCAAGCTCTCCTGGCTTGAGAACGAGCTTGGTGACGCTGGGAAGAGAAATAAACCCCGAGAGCCGAAGGCAGAGAGCAGTGACTCAGGTTTGGCATCGGTACAAACCATCTCCTGGTCCCCAGCCTGGACCTCCATGCCCAGATGTGGGGCAGGACATCTGCTTTCAACAAGTATCCCCAAAAAATAAGTGTAAAACCCCTTTGCCCTTCTACCCAAAGCACCGAGGCTTGGCGTTATGGGGCAGAGGCACCTCTGTGGGGCCATCTCAAGGGAGGCTGAAGGTCTCCCGGCACCATGAAGCCCTTATCCAGAGGCCAGCAAGGTTTTGGGGTGGTGGGTGCTGCCAAACCCCAAGGGGAGGGTCACAGCAGGGGACTGACTGAGCATCAAACACCCCATCTGGGCCGTTTTGGAAGCCTTCAAGCTGAATTTGTAGCCCACTTGGACAACCCCCATGCCCTGTGAATTAACTTGCTCCAATTAACACCTCTTCTCCCTCCGGAGAGGCAGCGGGTGCTCCGAGGAAGGAGGAACCGGGAAGGACTTGGCACCGTGAAGCATCGGCAGGGCTCGGGGGAAGACTCCTTGGGGAGGGGGGCTGCTGGGGCGGGGTGGCAAGGAGGCAGCAAGCCAGACAAAAAGCTCTGAGCATCGTCCCTCTCCTCCCAGGGACTGGAAGGCTCCTGCCCGCTCGGGGTCCAAGCCAGCACCCGGGGAAGGGCTTCGGTCCGGGAGGGTTTTGTTGAAAGGCAAAGCAGCCGAGATCCCGCTCCCGGGGCTGGGGAATCCACAGTCAGGCCAAGGCCACCACAAGCCAAGAAGGTCCTGGCAAAAAAATAAAAAGCTTGCGAAAGCCCCGGCGGGACCCGGCGAGCCTTGATCCGAGACCCTCGTTGCATAGAGAAAAGGTAACTCCTACGTAGATTCAAGTGCGCGGCAGGACGGGCTCCTCCCGGGAGGAGAGTGCCCCGTAACTTCACTAACCAAACCTGAAGGTCCAGTCCTCGCCCCCGGGGTCGGAGCAGCTCCTCGTCACAGCATGTCTGCGTCCTCCATGCTGAAGCTGCTCCGGCGACTGCTGGCCTTGGAGGCCTCCGGGGACATGGCCGAGAACAAGGGGTCGGAGGCCAGGGGCAGCATGGTGTCCTGCATCAACATCAAGTCCAGCTCCTTCTTGGATAAGGATGGGAAGGAAGCGCTGTGGCCGGGCTCCAGGCTGTCCGGGAAGCCCCGGGAGCCGTCATCGAAGCTCAGGCTGTGGGTAAAGTCCAGCTGGTGGTAGGGAGACTGGGGCGGTGGGGGCAGCGCCGGCTGCGGCTGCGATTCGGGGTCCGGGGGTGGCAGCAGTGGCTCCAGTGTCCCCTCGTCACCGCCGGCTTCTTGCTTGACCACCTGCTGAGCCAGCTCGGCCACGTTGACGCCCGAGGGTGAGGAGGTGGGCAGCCCGTGGACACGCGCCTGCATCTCCAGCTCCTGCCAACAGAGCACGGGAGGTCTTTGGTGGGGACGTGGCACATGGGGACACAGCACAGGGGCATCCACGGAGGTGGAAGGGCTTCGGTCCGGGAGGGTTTTGTTGAAAGGCAAAGCAGCCGAGATCCCGCTCCCGGGGCTGGGGAATCCACAGTCAGGCCAAGGCCACCACAAGCCAAGAAGGTCCTGGCAAAAAAATAAAAAGCTTGCGAAAGCCCCGGCGGGACCCGGCGAGCCTTGATCCGAGACCCTCGTTGCATAGAGAAAAGGTAACTCCTACGTAGATTCAAGTGCGCGGCAGGACGGGCTCCTCCCGGGAGGAGAGTGCCCCGTAACTTCACTAACCAAACCTGAAGGTCCAGTCCTCGCCCCCGGGGTCGGAGCAGCTCCTCGTCACAGCATGTCTGCGTCCTCCATGCTGAAGCTGCTCCGGCGACTGCTGGCCTTGGAGGCCTCCGGGGACATGGCCGAGAACAAGGGGTCGGAGGCCAGGGGCAGCATGGTGTCCTGCATCAACATCAAGTCCAGCTCCTTCTTGGATAAGGATGGGAAGGAAGCGCTGTGGCCGGGCTCCAGGCTGTCCGGGAAGCCCCGGGAGCCGTCATCGAAGCTCAGGCTGTGGGTAAAGTCCAGCTGGTGGTAGGGAGACTGGGGCGGTGGGGGCAGCGCCGGCTGCGGCTGCGATTCGGGGTCCGGGGGTGGCAGCAGTGGCTCCAGTGTCCCCTCGTCACCGCCGGCTTCTTGCTTGACCACCTGCTGAGCCAGCTCGGCCACGTTGACGCCCGAGGGTGAGGAGGTGGGCAGCCCGTGGACACGCGCCTGCATCTCCAGCTCCTGCCAACAGAGCACAGGAGGCCTTTGGTGGGGATGTGGCACGTGGGGACACAGCACAGGGGCATCCACGGAGGTGGCAGGGACAGAGGGACCGAGAAGCTCACAGTGAAGGAGCCCATGGAAGGGGTGAAGGATGGAAAATGGTGACCCCAACAGGTCAACACCACTCGCTGTGGTGACCTGAACCTCAAGATGTTTGGTTTGTCTGAAGACTTTGTTCCTGGTGACTCGACAACCGTGGGAGGGAGGAGAGCCCCTGCCCCCTGCCCGTCCCCTCAGTGGGGCAGGACTGAGCTGCTGGTGGGGCTGGAATGGAGGAAGGGAAGAGCACAGGGAAGCTCACCTGGATGCGGAGCAGCAGCTGCTTATTCGTCATCTCCAGACGCCGCGAGTGATTCTCCAGGTCTCGTGACCTCTGCAAGTCCTTCTGCATCCTCTTGATGTAGTCCACAGACGCCTTCAGGATTGTCCCTTTGTTCCAGCGCACGTCCCTGCAGTGCAGGATGGAAAAAGAGATTGCCACCTGCGTGCCACCAATGCGTCCCCTCACCCCTGCTCCACCAAAAAGCCCTTCGTCAAGTATCACCAGCCCTGGGGCCGAGCGTCGAGCAAGCCCACGAGACCCACAGGTACCCCAGCCCCACGGAGACCACTGATACGTACAGGTCGTTGGCTTTGGGGATCAGCATCCCCAACTCTTTGATGCGGTCGTTGATGTTAAACCTTCGCCGTCTCTCAACTGCAGGGTGAGAAGAGAGGGAAGGAGGTGAGGAGAGCAGGAGCAGCTCCATGTCCCACAGCCCCCACTGGCCACACTGCTGCTCCCGGTTCGTGGGGCTGGGAGCCCCTCCAGCCTCGTGGGGCTGGAGTTGGGGAGCTCAGGATGAGAAACTGGGGCTTCTCTGGGGCCAACCCTCTGGACCTTGCTCCCATCCACCATTCCAGCTGGTCTGACCTTCCCCCAGAAGAAAGGTCTGACGTTCCCCCAGTGCTAACGAGAAGAACAAGGTCTCTCCTCCACAGTGGGCATTTGGCAGAGCTGGGAAAGAGGCAGCCACGGCAGGGGGCTGCGGGGGTATTTTGTGAGGGTGAGGTGGAATGGGAAGGGGGATGTGGCCTGGGGAGAGGGGCAATGAGGATGAAGAGTGATGGGGAAAGGGCTGCAGGGGTGGGAGAGGGAAAAGCAGACCAGCGCTGGACTCACTCAGGTTGTGATTGTCTTTCTTCTGGCGCTCTTTTGCCAGGGCTCGGCTCTCAGCATCTGCAACGGAGACCCACAACGTCACCCGGAGGGGACGAGGCTGCATCTCACCCCACGAGCATCCCAAGCTGGCGTTGGAGCACCCCAGCATCCCCCAGAGCCACCTTCCCCACCCGGGGGGACAGGGCAGCCCCAGCTGCCTTTGGTGCTCGCTGCCACCACGGGGACCGGGGGGACATACCTGTCAGCTCTCTCTTCTGGGTGAGGTCGGCGGGGCAGGAGCTGCTGGTGACACCCACCAGAGAGGCCGTCACCTGGGGGTCCCCGCTATAGACATTCATGTGACTGCTGGACATGGGCAGCTGAAAGGCAGAGGGACAGGCGGGTTGGATCCATCCGGGGCTGCAGGAACCGGGGCTCAAGCCCAGCTCCTGGGCCTCTGGGATGCGAGTGCGTAGCCCAGGTAGGTGTAAATTCTCTTCCCGGGCCCTTAGACCAGCTCTAATCAGGGCAGCAAAGAAAACAGGACTTCAAAGGGCGCAGCTGATCCCCTCCCACGGCCAGCATCTAAAATAGGGCAGATGAATCACATCCGAGAAGGGCTCGGCAGGATGAATCCCACTGGGAGGCACAAGCTGCCGCATGGATCCGACCCGGGAGATGGTGCTGGTCTGAGCAAAGCTGCTGGCTGGGAATCCTCTCCCAGCACCAACGTCCCCCCAGGCTGCAGAGGACCCTTGGTCCCTCCCCACACCCCTCTCCCAGCTCTCCAGCTTTTTAGAAGGGCTCCCAACTGTCATTAAAGAGGAAAAGAAGCTGAAGAACTGGCTCTTGCAGTTGCAAAAGGGAGATCTCGCTGCCTCCAGGTCCCCAGGGACGAGGCTGGGTCGGGGTGGCACCCGGGCACCGCTGCAGGGATGTGGCAGGGGGACAGGTCCCCTCAGTGCCACCTCTGCCCCTGCAAGCACGGGGCTGCGGGACCCCCAGGTCACCCTCCCTCCCACAACCCAGGGTCTGATCTCTTCCTAAATCGCATCAGAGACTCACCGTGTTGGGCATGTGGACTTCGGGGTTCATATAGCCCAAAACGTCATCCAGGCGCATGATGTCATCCATGACCTCATCAAACTGAAAGGGAAAGGCGTAAGGTGCCAGTGGGTTTCTCTGCCCTTTTCCAGCACCTTTACCACCCCCCACCCGGGGGGTGGGTTTCTCTGCCCTTTTCCAGCACCTTTTCCACCCCCCACCCGGCAGCCCCAGGACCCCTCCTCACCTCCCGCTCGGGGTTGGAGCCGATGTTGAGCATGGCCATGGGGCTGTTGGGCGCGCTGTTGCCCGCCGAGGAGGACATGACATGGCCGGGTCGGACACCGGGGGACGCGGCGGGGGGCGGCTTGGGAGAGTGGCTGGCGGGGCTGACGTGGGCAGCAAACTTGTTCCCGTAGGTTTCGGAGAGATAAGCCTGCACCTTCTTGTCCCGCGACTTCTGGAGGTGGTACGTGGTGGGGTTCTCCAGGTAGGACTGAACCTGCGAGGAGACAAACCATCAGGGATGTCCCACACCCCCCTTGTCCCCAGGGCAGGGGGGGGACACCCCCAGAACTCTACCTTGAGGACTTCTCCGGGCACGGGTGGTGGGGACTGGTAGTGGACGGGGGTGTTGATGGCCGGGGTGGAGGCCACCGGCATCCGCTGCTGCTGCATGTAGTTCATCATCATCTGCTGCTGCATGCGCTCCCTCTCTGCCTCCTGCTGCGCCTGCTGCTTCATCAGCTCCATCCGCAGCCCGATGCGGGACGCCATGGTGCACCGATGGGGGGGGACGCGGGCGCCCACCGGGCACGGAGGTGACCCTGAGAGGAGGACACGGAGGTGACCCTGAGAGGAGGACACGGCACATCAGCAACAGGGGAAACTGAGGCACCGGGAGGGAGCAGACATCGCCGAGCACTCGGACCAGGACGGATGGGTCTGCCCTCCTGCTGCAGCTCCCCGCCACGTCACCGCTGCCCCTGGGGACAACCGGGACACCCCAGGGGGACAGGGAGCAGTCGGGACCCCCGTGCCCAGCGAGCTTGGACTCACGTACCGCCGGGTTCAGCCGGAGCGTGCTGTGAGTCACCAAATTCCAAAACACCCGGAGCAAAGCCAGAAGGACCAGGAAAAACCCGAACCCGGGAGCGAAAGGGAAAGAGAAAGCAAAGGGAAGAGCAGGAAGAAAAGGCCGGCGGGTGCCAGGAGCCGGAGGCAGGGTTTAACCCTCAGCCTTTTGGCTGCTCCGAAACCTCAGCTCCGGCACCGGGAGGAACAACACGGCTTCTGTGCGGGGCCGGCACGCGAGCGCGGAGGCGGGGGGAGGCGTGCGAGGCCCCCGCACCGCACAGACCGGCCCTTGTTTGCCCCGTACAAAGGGGACGGCGGCCCGGGGAGGGGTGGGGAGAGGATGCCGGGCCCGGGGGAGATGCCCTACCCCAGCTCCCTGGGGGAACGCCGGTGGGTTTTCCACGGGGCTGGGATGCAGGAGGTGTCGTGCGGGATGGGGGGCTGGACCACAGCATCCTCAGGGCAGGAGGGAAAACAGAGCACAGGACCCAAAGCAAATGCTGCCAGGGGAACAGACAGAAGCCAAACACCCGGGGTGCAGTAACCAGACAAATCTGGAGGGTTTTGCTATTTAAATACGACGTGTAATTGCAGACAAAGGGGCCACGGTGGATACAACACACCGGGGTTGCAGTGAGGCACGACACACGGTGCCACGCAATATCCTAAGGGGGAAATTAAATCAAGCCAGCATGGACAGAAATACGATTACATGGATCAAGAGCCAGCTATTGAACGGCAAGAGGAAGGTAATTAATTAGACATGGTGGCCCATCTAAAGGGGGAGGGGAGCAGAGGAGCCCGGGACAGTTATCAATCGGAGCTTCGTTAAGACGGCTGTCACCAACGGCCTCAGAGGAGGGCACAGGGGGACAATGTTTGAGACGAGCAACAGCAGAGCCCTGTACAGTGACCCAGCGATGCCAGGGAGAGCCTGCAGGGGCTGATGAAACCAGGCTGAAGGGGGACAAACCACAGCTGATGCCCACAGGGGATGTCACAACCCCAAACATCAAGGGCAGGGTGAGAGGAAAAACCTCCGAGAGGGGTGAGGAGATGGGATGAGTGGATGTGGCCTGGTGGGACCGTCACGAGGCAGAGGTTTTTGAGGGGGTTCAAGGGGGGAGAAGGGGGAAAGGATTTCAAGCCATTCAAGGGAAGCTTAGTGGTCAGCCCCCGTGTTTGCTGGGGGGATCCAGGCTCTTCTCAGGAAGGGCAGCCGGTACGTGGTGGTGGGAGGGTGTCATGTGAAGCGTGCTGAGGCACAGCCACCCACGGCACGGCACCCACTCAGCCCACCAGCTCCAGGACCCCCCAGCACCCCCCTTATAGGAAACGGGGGCCGAAAGCACTGCCCTCTTCCCCCCGGGAAACTCCGGAGAAGGGGAGCTGCCGAGGGGCGAGGATGGGGAAGGGTGGCCAGAGTTGGGCCCGATAAGGAAGAGAGGGGAAATTAGGTCAGGTTTAAAATAACCCGCTTGGTTCTGCTTGGCTTCCCCCCTCCCCTCGCCCCCCAAAACCCCGAGCAGCTTCTGCTTTCGCTCTGAGTCAGCCCCGGGTGGGAGGGAGGCAGCCGGCGGTGGGAAAGGCTGGGGACCCAGCCAGCATCACGGAGCAGCCACCCCACCCCGGGGGACACCTTCCCACCCCCCACCACCATCCCTTGGTCCAGGCAGGCAGAAATAAAGCACGCAGGACGGCAGCTCCATCCGGGATGCCTGGTATTCCTGGGATGGTGAAAGGTGTTGGCATCCTGGGGAAAGCACACCCAGGGGCTCTCCCGCTGAGCCGGAGCCGTCCCCACGCCAGGGGCAGCCCCAGCATGGTCCCTGCCTGGAGGGGACCCCAGTGAGGGGTCTGTCCCTGTGCTGGGGAAGCCGTTTTCCTGGCTCCAAGCTGGCCAGGGCAAGACCAGGCACTGGGTTTCCCGGTGGGTGCTGCCAGGGCACCTGCTGGAACAACGTCCCCATCGGTCCCGGAGAGGGAAGAGCAGGGGAAGGGAGGAAGGAAGGTGGTGGGAGGTCCAGGGTGGGCCATGGAGCAACGGGAAGGGGATGGGGAGGGAAAAGAGGGGCTGAAGGGCAGGAAGGCAGGAGGGAGCAGGGAAAAGGCGGACGGCCCTGGCATCTCTCCACACCCTGACTCCACCTTTCCTGCCCGGAGAGCGGGGACCAGCAGCAGGGGGGACACAGGGTGGCTTTTCCATGCCTGGAACAACCCCCTCCCCATCACTCCCCATCACCAACCATCGGTCGGGCTGATCCTGACCCTGGCTGCAGCCCCCAGCTCCACAGAGAGGGTCCAAAGCACCAGCCCAGGGTCTAACCGGGAACACAGGGAAAAGGGATGGATTGCACAAAGGAAACTCCAAAAACCTTGCACCCCTGCTGCACCCTGCCTCTCCTTCAGGTGGGGGAGGAAGTTAATCCCATTTCACTGAATTTCACTGAATTTTTAGAGTTGGAAGGGACCATAGAGATCATCTAGTCCAACCCCCCTGCTAAAGCAGGACCACCCAGAGCTTGTCAGAGCATGTTACTCAGGAGCATCCAGGAGGGTCTTGAAAATCTCCAAAGAAGGGGACTCCACGACCTCCCTGGGCAGCCTCTTCCAGGACTTCATTGCAGGATCACACCCTAAAGCCAGAGAAGCTCTTCCAGTGAAAACCTCGCCAGGTGCTGGGGACCAGTGGGGTGGGGGGGCTCCAGTGCCACACACCAGACCCTCCGCTGGGACAAGGCACGGGGCCGGAGCCAGGGAACTAATCTCCCTTCAAAATATCTCGGCTGCTATTTAGCGACGCGGTTATTTCTGGACCTTTCTTGCTTTTCCTCTGGGGGTGTTATTTCACTGAGAGCCCAACGCGCTCCCCCCCCCACACACACAGTGGGGCAGCACTTGGGGGGTGGAGGAACCCCGGTGGCACCCAGAGCTGCCCTGACCATGGCTTGTCCCCCCCCCTGCAGGACTCTGCATGGCCCCGAGCTGTCCCCGTGGCACCGCAGATGGAGTTTATAAAGCTCAGCAAACGCCGGTATTTTCTGGAGCGACACCGGGTGCTGCCCCACAACACGTAGGGCCAGGCTGCCACCGGACCCCCGCTGCAGAGAGCCCCCGGTGCCACCCCACAGGGACACGCTGTCATCCCTGCACCCACACAGCACCCCCCCTGCCACCTCCTCCAGGTGTGGGTTGGAAATAAAAAGCTGCCCCCGCGGCAGTTTCCAGATTTAGCCCCTGCGAAATACGGGATCGCCTTACCCTCCCCGGGCACTGCCCGTCCTGCCTCCAGCCCATGGGCACACACACACACCGAAACATATAGAACAAGTGCAACACATCTCCTGCCCACCCCCCTGCTTTGAAAGCTGGAGGGAAAAGAGCAGACCGATGCTCCAGCTCAGCCCTGGAAACTCAGCTGAGAACCCCCAAAACTCATCGCACCAAGGAGCCGCCTGCCCTGGCGCGTGTTCATTTCCTGGTCGATTGTGGCCGTTTATGAGCGGAAAAATCAATCAGCGGCTTGAGCTGTGAGAGGGGGACCCCCGGGGAAGGAGGGGAGCTGGGGTGGGGGCCGTGCCACCCCCCCACCCACCGGCCCGGGCTGCTTCATTGATAACCCAGAGGGCGGCGAAAAGGAAAGGGAGAAGAAAGAAGTGAAAACAGCTCTGCTTCTCGCAGAGAAGTGCCCGGCGAGCCTTCCTTCCTCGTTTTTTGTTTTCAAACACGGTGGCGGGGGGGGTAGAGAGGTGGGGGGGGCACGCAAGGGACCCCAGAGCACCCCAGCCCAGGCAGGACGAAGCACCCAAAGCCGTTTTGGGACCGGCAGTGGCCAACTGGGTCCTACAGCAAAGCGGTTGGTACCGAGCTCCCACCCCGCTGGGCACCCACGAAGCCACCCCAGGGGTGCCCACAGCCTGTGGACGGGCTCCGCTGCCCCCCGGCTCCGTGGGGAAGGGGGGACAAGGGGGCAGGGGTTACCTGGGTGCGGGACGGCAGGGCCGGGGGGGTCTCCGGGTGCCGGGTGGCAGCTCCTCCGTGCTCCTCGGCGGGGCCAGCCCGGCTCCTGCGCCGGCCCCGCGTTTCCTCATTTTCAGGACCCTGCTTTTAATGTGGTGGCAGCCACGCAGGGTGCAGGGGGGGTGGCGGAGGCAG